TGACTGGCAGTGAAGCGTGACCATACCCAGCCAAACGCGTCATTGCCCACTTTGTAAAGAGGCATTCAAGATCGAATATTAAGACAAAACAATATGCTGAAAAATAATCGAGAAGAAAACTAAATGAAAAGACTAAACCCAGACTCAATCGCATTCTCACGACCTTCAACACAGTGCGAAAAAACCGAAACAAAAACATTCACGCATGAGAAGTCAACCAGCTAGAAATCATCTACATATACTCGATACCAAGAACTATCCGACTATATCCAAATGAATATGTGTGCTAGTACAAACGAATATTTATATTTTATTTTCTGATTGCAGGCCCCACACCCACAATGCCACGATAAGCAAAAAATTAATTTTGTTTCTGATGGAAATAAAACTGACTGCGATAAAACTAAAATTTAATTAAGGCATTTAGAATAAATGACAGATAAAGTGAGAGAAGAAGGAAATTCACGAATAAATAATATTGTAAAATATGTTGTTTGTGCTCAAAGCGCTAAAATAAAGCTACATCGGAAACAAGTTCTGTGGTCGAGAGACCGGCAGATGACTAAATTCCAAACCAGACTCAGACAGTATGAGACTTTTGTTTTATTGTTCCTAGATAGAAGCTTATATGTACATACGTATATGTTTGTGTTTTGGGGGTATATATGTACCACTAGTGTTCCGTGTGCGATGACGCAACAACGCATAAAATGTTAAGGAATTCGTTTGCTTTATAGTATTTTTTCTCACTCGCCTCTGGCGGCGGCATTTTGTTAAAGTATTTTAGTTCAAAAAAGGCCACCATAAGGCAAAGGCCAAGTGCAGGTAGAAAAACGGAGAGGAAACAATAACATCTGCTGCATATCGCCTCCTTAAAATGCATCCTTTTTACCTGTGGGCGATGGCCAGAAAACCGGAAAGGTTAAGCGGCCACTGGAGATAAGACAGAATATAGACCGAGTCATGTGTCTAAGTAAAAGAGTTTGGTACGCTAAAAAAAGACGACTAGGTTCTAAAAATAATATTAACATTTTAAAAAATAAATAGATGTTAGGAACTCACTATGTTAAATTAAAATAGTTTGTATTTCGCATGCTCATTAAGTTTCCTAGGCTTTAAAAACTCTTGTATTTCTATATAACAACGACGAACATTTTTCTACGCTTCATCGGAAATTGGACACCATTTTTCAGACATCAAATCGAACGTGAATTCATTTCACCCATATGGCTTTCAATGTATTCCACGTGAATTTTTTTTGTAAGAGTTATATGCAAAAATCGAATAGCAAATATGTTAAAAGAGGGAGACGGGCCAATTGAAAGAGAAGGACCCCGGGAAAACAAAAGAAAAATCGCAGTGGCATCGTCGAGCGACAAACAAAACAAGCTGAAAAATAACTGCAGCTGTTGCAGTTTTATAAATGTGGTTCCCCAAAAACCTACTCCCTCAGCCACCCATCCAAAAAAGTTACCTATCCTATCTGCACACATATAGTATATGGTATATAGTAGATGGTGTAGCATATAGATGGGGTTAGAGATGTGGATGGTCTGTTGTCGCTCGGTTGGTTGGTTCTCCACAATAAAAGTGAAATTTTCTCGTGCCAAGTTTCGTTGACGGCGGGTGGGTTCTCCATGGTAAGGTCTGTTAGGCACTGACACTGTAACAGTTTGTGAAGAACTTTTCCGAGGTTGCACAAGCCAACATAAACTAATTGCAACAACATTTCCGACCGCCGTGCAGCCAAGAAGTAATCAAAAAAGCTACTTTGATAAATTAAAGGAGAACTAATGATAGCAAACTAGATAGTTTCTACTTCTTTTTTGGCAATTAATCAATGTTCCATGGCATCCAAGTTGAATGGCTTAATTTGTGTATATCTTAGAGTTTCCATCATTACAATTTTAGTGGCATCAAGAATCTTTAGGTAACCAACTCAAAGGCAAATAACCGCAAATCAAAACAATTTCTTGTTTAGAGAAGTATACAAATTGCAACAGATAAACACATGCCGAAATTTCCATTTCATTGATCAGATCAAAAATCATATATGAGTATAAAGAGGCATGCGATGATAACGAATCAATAGAATAAATAAGTAGGTAATTTTTAAAAATATTCATGAAGTCATCAGTAGCATCTGGGAATTAGGTTTTCATTGAGAAAACAAATACATATAGACTCCAAGCCGTGATAATGCCACCAGTCTAGACAGGCGATAGTCGCGGGTCCCACGAATGAAATGCGTCATTTATTGATTGCAAATAAATATATGGGAAAGCAACAAGCGACCCCGAAGCCAAAAGCTATAACCAAATCGGATGCAATGCCTCATTTAAAAATGACTCAGTAAGAGTGGCATTTTGAAATGCTCGGGTTAAAATGTTATCTACAACTTTTGTTTGTCAAATATAAAATCGTGTCAAAGTATTTAGATCAGTTGTTTTTGTTTTGTTTATGTGCCGACGAACTCATATTAATGACTGTTTAATTGTTCGATGTTCGATTTCGACCATAGTTTTCTCCCGTATCACCTGACTACCGGTATAAAATTTAAGTGTGTAAATAATAAACAAGTGCCAAGAGTTGCATTCCCCCTAAACAACAAACAGCAGGTCGTGGGCCTTTTGCCATATGCTCAAGACTCAAGACAGATAACGCTGAAACCCAGTTTTTACCCATAGTCATACAAACACACTTATGTACATATGTGGGCAAACAGTAGCAGTAAAAATTCTAGTCTTGGTACAAAAAAAGTTTTTTTTTTTAAAATTATTAGTTAATTATTTCTTAAATGGAATTAATGTTTTTAAGAAGCACAATAAGGAATATTAAATTGATTTGTAACTTTTATTTAATTTATTAATTATTTAATTTCAAATTGTTCAAAATGATGTATAATTTCGAAAACCTATTAACATTAATGGGACTGCTTTTTTTTGTATAAATATTAAATAATTATTTTATTGCTGTGACAGATTCGTCAGCTATATAATTTCAAATAGGCGTTCTATGAGGGCTTTTCTTTGTTATATTTTTTTACAATTTGAATTTTCAATTAAAATGTACAAAATTATTTATACATAATTTATATAAAAATTCGGAAACCTAGTACAATTAATGGGACTACTTTTAGTGTACAGATATAAAATAATTATTTTATTGCTGTGTCAGACTCGTCAGCTATTTAATTTGAAATAGGCGTTATGTTATGTTATGTTTCTATGTTATAATTTTTCCTATTTTGGATTTCCAACCGCTTATCCGTGACCATGAACAATATGACTTTCGAAGCAATGGGTCAAGTTCTGGCGGCGTTATCGGCGAAATGGAAAGGAAATTATTCGTAAATGAAAGGGGTTCTCAAATAAACCGCTTATCTCCGCGCAGAAAAGTAAATAAATGAAAGTTATTTACGCTGATTTGACGCTTTTTGAGCCTGCGCTAATTCCTCAAACTAATTGACACAGATAGAGGCGTATAAATGGATCTAAAAAACTTGCAGTACGTTAATGAAATTAAAAATAGATCAACAGCTGAAAATACACAGGGTGTGAGAGAGACGGGGCCAAAAAGTCAAACAAAAGCAAATAGGGAAATAAACGAGAGAGGGGAAACATCAAAAACACAAAGAACTAGATGAACTAGAACATGGGAAATCAGAATGGAAAATCAAATGTGTGGCTTGACTTGTTAGTTAGCTCTTTACACTCTTTATTTCTAAATCTCGAATATGTTAACCGATGAATATGTTATAACCTTCAGGTTTTAGCGCTCTTTTTATCGAGTTGCTAGGCAGTTTCAGGCGAGCAAAACAAAAAGATGTGTGTAAGTTCCACGGTGTGTCTTACCACATTTGCATAAGCTCTGCGAAGGAGACCACAACAAAAACAAAACTGAACGATTTTTACCGATTTGTTAACGAAACGCACTCTGAACCATCCACTTTCTCTCTTTTAACGACCTTTTCAGATCTTTTCGATCACTTTTGCTCACTTTTCACCGCTTTTTTCTGTCGGTGCAAATTATTTGGTAAGCACTTTAGCGCATTTGTTATTGTTTCGGTTCGGCTTCGATTTTTACAGGCGTCGCGTTCTGTTGCGCGAATCCGGTTATTGCACCAAGTTGGGCTGCAAAACTATATAGCGCAGTATCCGTATATCCGTGTGCTTAGCGGGAACCCAAAATATCGTTAATGTAACATTTTCTCCCGGCGATTTGTGCACTTTTTGTTACTTTTAGCGGAGCACCGAACACACGAACAGCGCGGTTGAAAACATTTCGAACTGAGTGGGTGTTTGAGCGCTGCAGTCGCCTTAAATACCGAGCGAGAAAACCACTCAAACTCGCTCTCCTGCTCTCTCGCTGCGTTTATGGGGAACTAATTGCATGATAAGTATCCATTTCATGTATTTCATTTTTTTCTTAACATTTTAGTTGTCTTGTCACAAAAAACATGAGCGAAGCATTTTTTTAATTGCCTTATTATTTTTTCTTTTTATTTATGGAATTTTAAGCATTAGAGGTTCATTACATTAACCAAAGCTAAGTTTTTTAATGAGTTCAATTACAAGCACATATTTACTGTGAATTCTTTACATAAAATAATAAAAATCAAATCACCTCTTTGGCTTATTAAAAACATATTGAATACAAGAATTCATTTAAATCACCATGCATAAACCGCTCTCACTTGAGTTCAAATTGGAGAAAGAGAGCGAAAGAGATTGCACAGTGGGCTGAAAATAAAATGTGCCATCACTGACATATTTTATCAAAACATTAAAAACATACATTTTCCCGACATTTTAAATTACGGCAGGAAGATTGTGGGTACAATAACGGTTTATTCGGCCAAATTATTGTTGCTGAAAAAATTTGTTTTTTTGTCTTAACTTTATTTAAGCTTTACTCACCCAAAAACATTTCTACGCCATTAAACTTCTTACCCAAATTGCTATTTGCGCTCCAAGTTAAATGAAATAATTAGCGCCGGTTTAGCCGGGCTGCCAGACTGCGAATATCGGTTTGACATTCCCAAGTCTTGGTCACACCACAACATAGACTTATCGATAGCATCACACAGCTATCGAGCGCTCTGAATAAAATACTGTGCAAGTTTTCGCGCGAATGGACCGAGATAACCAACCTGTCGACCAGGAGGACGGTGATGGCCCCGGTCCAATGCGCTCTTTACACCCCCGCCCAGGCGAGTTCTTTCCTATGGACATGTTCTTGGGCGAAGGACCCATTTGCAATGTAGGTAAGTAATCCGATACATACGTACAGCTTAGGACAAAAGCATAATAATAATTATTGAAATTACATTTATAAAATACCAATATAATTATGTTTGATCTCCACATATGTAGAACTACGTATACCAGGAGACCGAAAGAAGATGGTGATAGACGCCATGAAGGGCAACCCGCTGTTGCCCTATCTACACCGGTCCGATGCTAGTTGGTTAGAGCTGTTTTCCCGCCTTGGCCGAGCCAGCTCGGATTACTGGTGGAGGTGGCTCATTCGCTGGAGATCCGCTGCCCGGGGAAAGCTGAGAAGCGGTCAGCCGATGACCAGCTTGGACAAAAAGCTGCTTCAGTATTGGGAGGGCACCGAATGCACCGAAAAAACAGTCTAGGTGCCCTATGTACAATAGAATGTAAAATAAAACTTAAATCGTTGAGTTTTTAAATAGGGAGTTACCCAAAGTATAAAGATAATATATCGATATATCGGCATTTAATTTTCCCGCTGCATCCGATGCATCCCTGCGATACTATTCCGATATATTTGTCATATGGTCATTGTCCGTCGTTGTTTTTGCAATTATTTTCCAAAGGTACACTTCCGTTAGATAGAAATCCTAGAAAAAATGTCCGAATTACAAGTGAGCTAAGCAACCTTCTCGAAAATTGTATTTGCTTATTAGGGAGCAAACCCTTAACTTGTTAATCCACAGGAATTCAACCAGGCGGCCGAGGATGTGAAGAATCTGAACACAACGCCGTCGGACAATGACCTCTTGGAGCTCTACAGCTTGTACAAACAGGCCACAGTGGGCGATTGCAATACAGGTGGGTTTTGGGCGTTGTCCCTACTGTATCCCCACCATAACTAATACGAGTCCGATCCAGATAAACCGGGCTTCCTCGACTTCAAGGGCAAGGCCAAGTGGGAGGCTTGGAACAACCGCAAGGGAATGAGCAATGCCGACGCCCAGGGTGCCTACATCACCAAGGCCAAGGCCCTGATCGCCTCTGTTGGCCTCAAGTCCTAGATTTAATCACCAAAGGATATTGCATTTTATAATCTCAGTTGTCGTCAAACGCACAAACTTCGATTTTCCAGATTTCGCACAAAATACAACACAAATGCGTAACGTAAAGCATTTAATTTGTCATTGCGGGAATGGTTATATATTAAACTATATAGGATACTGCTTAGGCCTCTGTGGGTGAGGCGGCGGTGCTGCCCTGGGACTGGCGCTGTCGCTCGTACACCTCGCGCTGTAGCTCGCGAAGATTCAGTTCCAGTGTCTCCACCACTTCGAAGTTCATGTCCTGACGCGCCTGTTTAATGTATCCCTTAATGATGTTGATCTGCTCGATCAGCGGATCATCCAGGGTGGATTTGCTGGCCGCCTGCGGGGCCGACCAGTTGGTCAGGGATTGGAGATCCGACTGGGGAACAGAGGTTAAGGGGGGGCTTGCCAGCAATATATATATGTACTTACCCCCTGGGCGAAGGAACCACTTTCAGGACCCGGAACAACCACTCCCGATTGGTTGGCGGCCTGGTTATTTCGCTCGTAGGCTTCCATGGCCATGCGCTGCTCAGTAAGGATACGTTGTTGCGTTTCCATGCGTCGGCGCTCCTGCATCTGACGGATGTGCGCCTCCTCTGGCAGTGGTGGCAGCGAAAGCATGCGCTCCTTAATGGCTTGGATGCACCCCAACCTAATGGCCTTCTTCAAGGCCTCCTCACGACTGCCTGGCTCACAGAATATGGCTAGAATGCGCTTGCTCCTCGTGTCCATAGCTTCGGCAACTTGCCCGATCTTGCCGCGCAGTGCACCAGCATCCGCCAGCGTAAAGATAGTGTCCCCTTCGTTTAGGCTATTGATGATCTTCAGATACATGTCCAGATCCGGGGTTACCTCCTTCTGCAGCTGGCGAATCTGTTCGTAGACCTGCATGAGGAGTGGGCGACAAGTGCGACTCTCGTGCATGTCCCGTCGCGTGTCCAGCAGCCAGAGGCAGTGTTCGCACAGACGGATGGCGTTCTCCTGTTGGTGTAGCTGCTGTAGGGGTTCACTTCTTGTGGTGGAGAGACTGGCCAGTTGCACTAAAGAATAAACAAGGGGTTAACAATAATTTTAAGATCATGACTTAAAGATAACTTACTGGCATCTTCCAGGGGCAGGAACTTGGAGCAATCGTTGCACATAATGCCTCCACACAAGCGGCAGTGGTGTTGTCTTCGGGCAAAGTGAAAGCTCTTGGCGCAGCTGGGGCACAACTTGACGGAACTGCCATCTAGCCAGGCAACAGTCTGCTGTTCGTGCTGTCGTCTCTGCACTGAATCCGCAGGCAGATCCTTCAGCAGACGATGCAGGCGAATTATCAACTTGTTTGTTTCGCTAGCATACCGCTCCAGCCGGGGGTTCCTGATGGACTGGAAGTACTCAAAGTGGGAGCACTCGGCACCTGCCTGCTGCCTGCCCATGTGGTTGAAAACGTTGAGTCGGGAGCGGGCATTACTGGGTCCATTGCGATCTCCGTTGCCATTGGGATTTTTGCCAGCCGCTGCGGAGGAGGAACCTCCGGGCGAGGCTACGGCTGCTGCCTTCTCATCCTCGAATGGGTTCAGGATCTTCTTCTTCGCCTTGGTAAAGATGTCTTTGAAGGATTTCAAGGCCGCCTCCTCCTCGGCATGCTGGCGGGCAAAATGATCTGTGAGCACGTCGATGGACTTAAGGTCCGCACGGCAAATGGGACATAGAAAACCCTCTAGGATCTCCCCGCTGGCCGAACTTTGGTCCTCATCGCTGTCGAAAGGATTCCCAGACATTTTGGCGATGAGTAATCGCGTATTATTTGGTGGGTGTGCTTTTGTTGTGGTCTCCTCCCCGCAAATACTGCTGTTTAAGGGTGCTCCACTTTCCCTACAGCAATGGCATGATTGGATCTACGCCCCTTAAAGTCCTCAACTGCGTTTATTGGGTTAAACTTTCTAAACGTGAACTAATTTAATTTTTTTTATAAATATTTCCACTAATAATCAAAATCTGCTTACTCTTCTTCTTGTCAAGTTACCATTCGCAGGTGTAAGTTATATATAGGGCTGCAGCAGGTGCGGAATAAAACGAAATATTTTTATAAGTACAATATTCAAGTTTAATTAAGTTTTAATTAACGTAACAAGAATTTGTATTAACTGCATTATATAAAACAAAATTTTATAATAAACAACAGTTTAATGGGTTGTCCGCATATCCTTCATATTAAATAAATTGTGTTGTTTGACTCTAATATATTATTTCTTGTTTGTTTTTTAATTATCATAAACTTATAGCTAAATTCGTATTAAAAATATTTTAAATATACGCGGGTATCACTATCATCCGCCCCCGCATTTTCGAAAGCATTGCAGCCCTGGACGAAAGCTCTTCACGGTGAATGTCAAGCGCGGAAAGAAGCAGAAAGTTGCCTGCCTGGAAGTTTTCTCGGGATTTCCGCTTAAAAACAGTCGTGGGTGTGAAAATCCTGCTGGGAAAAAGTCCTCCAAGCTAGCCAAGTACTTGCAGTACACCTACGCATCGAATAACCTAAAAATAAAGCTCCTGAACGGCCTCTAACATGTCGGAAAGATCGAAAGGTGACGTGTCTCGCATAAACAACAATGCAAATCCGACGCGTGTCGTTAAAAATCCGCTTTTGAGCGCCTCCGTGACCGGCCTGAGTTTCGATGACTTTCCCAACAAGCCGCAGCTGCTGCCCGCCGCCCCGCCCGTGGTCCATGCCACGCCCCCAGCGGCCCCCGTCCTCATCGCTGGCATCTTGAACCGCGGTAAGTGGGTCACGGCTTGCTCGGGAATCCAACGCGGAGTGGGGGTCACCTGTTGCTCGGGTGCGGTAATGGTAATGATAAGCTGATAAGCCAGGCACTTGACCTTCTACCCCTTTAATTATACTCTAGTTTACATGAGCAGTAAGCAAGATACTCGAATCTTCTCTAAATATAAAGGAAAATGAGTAAGGTCAGCACTTTGTTTTGGTTTCCACTGAGTTTGTTTATCAAGAGGTAAAAGAATATAATGGCTTACTATGTTTGATGATTGATTTATAAGATAGAATGATTTCCCTTAATTATCTTACGCTTTCAAGGCTGAAATATACAAAAATAACCTGTCTATTTAGAAGGTCTGGACGGGATTAGAATGTCCTGGCTATGCAGTGACAAGTTGGAAACTCGATTTTTTTCACCTCAAGCTTCCCAATTTGGCCAAATGTGATGTAGATGACGTTGTATTTTGATAATGTTGTTCCTGATAAGTTGTAGATTAGAAGCTTTTGTTATGGTAGTTTTTTGGCAATTTAGTTATCAGTTTGCATAACGGTTAATAGGGTCATTATTTAAATAAAATTTTTAGTAAATTATTCCCTTTCATAGCTTATGCATTTTCCTTTTACTGACAGGTGGATTTTAACTTCTTATAAAGTCATTCCATGGCATTTTTATTAGACTCTTTCGAGTTCTGTTCGACTCTTATTTGGCACAATAACATAACAACAATTTACTCCATACTCCTAGTGGAGTGGGATCTATATGTGGGCAGCTCTAGCGTCGTCTTTCTCCGCCGACAACACCACACAATGCTCCAGATGAGAGCTGCGATCAGCAGCAGGAGTAGAATGACTCCCAGACAGATGGCTGCAATGGCGGCTTCGTTCAAATACACATCCCTCACATCGATGGTCAGGCTCCTCTGATTGCCTGCCGCATCGATAGCGACAAGTGATACCTTTGGCTCGCAGCAAGAAGCCATGTAAGTGGCCTTCAGCGGCTCTGTGCTCCCAGCCGTGTAATAGTTTCTGTAGAATAGTCCCTCCGGCGGCGTAGCCTGCAAACGCAACATGCCCGACTGCCAGTCTTGAGCGGTGACATCCAGCGTCCAAAAACGCTCGCCGCAATTCAGGGATTCGGGCGTGAGATAATCGCAGCGGCTGCCAAACTCCCACGATAAAGTAGGGCCAGTTGAGTCCTTGAAATTGCATATAGATATTACGATAATAGAGGAATATTGCTGATTAAACGTACCAGAGCATCTATACTGGTCACCACTTTAAGATTGACTGCCAGAGTGGAGGTTTCACGTCCATAATTGGTGAAGGTGATGCGGTCCGTGGTGCCCTGAGCTGTGCCAGTCGGCACCAAAACAGTCAGACGCACTGTGGCCGTCTCCTGGGCGCGCAGGTTCAATCTACAAGGTCAAAATCACTTAATTAACTAGCTTAGGTTGGCTTTAAACACCACCCACCTGGTGGGACTCAGCTGGACCAGGAAGCGCCGCTCGTCGGTGACTTGAATGGTGGAGTACACTGTCTCCGTTTTCATGTTGGTGACCTCGAAAAGCAGCGAGGCGGTCTGACCGGGCATCACCAAAAGTTTGGATTCTGTGCCCAACTCAATTTTGGTGCCACATCGCTGAAGAAGCATTGCATTTAGGGTGCTCCTCGGCTGACCCGTGGAGGAGGTCAACAGGGTTTGGTTCAGACTCGTAGATCTTTGGATTTCCTTCTCCGAAAAGGTTTCGATTTCGTTTTTCGGCGAGTCCACATCCTCCTCCAGCTTCTCGGTGTCCTTTTCCCCGTCCGGAAACTGGATTTTGGCCGACTTCGGCTTTGTTTGACCGCTTTTGTAGTAGCTATCGATTCGTTTGATGATGTCGCCTGTGGGAAAATGAGGAAAAACATTATAAAATCAGTTGCGCACACGTGTTTTTGTCATAATATGAAAATATTGCGATGATGGCGTCAACACTGACGTTTTCATCCAAGGTTGAAGAGCGGTTATCAGCCCGAGATTCGTGTTCATTCGGGCAAACAGAATAGATCCCGGACTCTTATCAATTGAAACTGAGTCCCAGAGCAATCAATTAGCTAACTGGGGCTCAGTTCTGTTTGGCAATCGACACCGCCGGGTTGTTTGTTACTTGGTTATAGAATAACTCACCCAAAAACACATCCGCTTTTCTTTCGGCGCGAACGAAAACATTGTATTTCTCGTCCAACTCGGCCTGTAATTTCAATTTGAAAGTTGTAGCGCGTCGCAGCTTATTCAGGGGTACGTAGGCATCCAGTTCTTGGGGATTCGACGTCTCGGATACATTACCTCCGTTGAGTTTGGCCAGTTTCTTCAAATTTATCTCTAAAAAAAGGTAAACACAAAAATAAACAAAAATCGAACAGCTGTTTGCCATTCAACACGCAGCGCGGACAGCTGTTACAGGTGTTTGGCCGGCGTTGCCAGACCTTTGTAGCTCGTTCCACTTTCAGTTAAAACATCAAAATTGTGCAATAAACCTTAAATTTGTGAGGCTCAAAACGTGTATCTTAAAACCGCAATAATAATTAATAATTAGCAGACATTAAATAAACAAATTTCGCTGCTATTCAGCGGCTACTACAAGACCTTGGCAACCCTGGCCTGGCAGCTGCGCCGTAGTTGTTGTGTAAAAAACACGTCTACAAAAATCGCGACAAAAACAATTGTTTTTCCTTGTGAAATCAGCGAATTACGAACGATTAAACGCCGCTAAAGTGTTGACAACAAGCCATTTTAATTGCCGGTCTAGATCAGTGCTGACGACATAGGCAGCAAGTGTACAAAATCAACAAAAATTGGGTACTTTTTCTACTTGGCCTTGACAGTGAGGCGATTTGGCTAATTTTGTTATTAAAAATGTATGTATATATGCGATTTCAAGCAGAAAAAAAATATATTTTAAAAGATATAAAAGAAACGTAAACCGAAGTGAAAAAAGACAACTACAAATGGAAGATTAATTCGCCATTGCCCAGATGTTTCTCAATTTTTTTTAAATTTACATATATTATTACGAAATACATGTGATTTTAGTCGGTTTTTAAATATAAAAGCCTCTCCGAAAAGGTCACAATTCGTTTGGAGTTGAGGAAGGCAATGAAAAAAACCTCCCCAAAAATTGATTTCTTCAGAGTGCACATGTATAGAGTGCGCTTGTATTGATAACTTCCGGAAGATAACTTTGTTTATAATCGGCTGTTCCAAAAGTTATAAAAAGATTGCAATACTTTCACTAGTTATTTTCGGTTTGTGCGATAAGCCCATGTTTTTGACTCGAGACGCGTTTTGTTCCATCGTTTTTGAGTCATAATTATTTTCTGTCTGACCCTATGCTATCTTCATTTTAATAGCCTATACAATATAAAAATTGGACTTTGTATAGTCGTTCGACGTGGCGTATGATTATTCTAAGGGAATGTTCGTTATATTTGATCCATTCTCCTAACCATTCTACGTTTTAAGTTAGTCAACAAAAGCCTTTTGTGCCGGACAGTTGAAAGTGCTCTAGATTAAATTGGTTTACAAATATATATGTTTTTAATACTCACCTTTGAGGACGAAACACAAAAGGGACTAGAACACACAGTGCGGATATAAAGTTAAGGTGAATTCCAAAAAATATATAGTTGTATAGCTTCACACACAAAATAATCGATTTTAAATGATAAAGTTGTATTATAAAGTTGGTAATACAGGTATTTGACTAAGTAATTTATAGCCCATAAACAGTCGTCATTTAAAATCTTTATCTTTGTGTGGTTAAGTGTTAAATCAGATTGCTTTTTATCGTTTTCGTTTTATTTGTGGACCCTTAAAAGCTAAAACATTTATTACTTTGTATCTGTAAAACAGTAAACATATATATTGAAAATTCCTTTGTACTACAGTTAAGTGTTAAGTGTTGTTTTGTTGAGCATTATTATTATACTAGCGTTTTGGTTAAGGAAAGCGTTGGGACTTCGGCTATATACAAGTATCAGCATAGCTGACTTGGAATTAGAGAGCAGCGATTCATTTGGGGTTAGTCATGAATCTTACGAGCTAAGGACATAAATTACACAGTAGTACAGTTGTCATTCCATCTGGGAAGTTATTGAAAGCTTGTGCCATTATCAAGAGGATTAGACTTAGGATCTAGGTAGGTTTGGCACACAGACTCCTACACATTTAACTCGCTAAACACTAAAATACAACCCTGCGTTAGTAGGTGCGATAGAGCAATTGGAGTCGGTGCTTGTATAGCTCGGTTTTCGAGAAAGACTAACCACCATTCGGCGTCTCCATCGTGGCCCGTCTCATATTCGCATCGATACGAACATGGAGACTGGACAACGTAGTGTCCACCGGCAGATCCAACTCTTGGACGCCCTGATACGCGTCCGCCACCAGGGTGAGCTGAAAGATAAAGACAGATTAAATGACACTTGAATAAGAATGTCGTGTAAACATTTTGATTGAAATCATGATTAAAAGATCATGGCTTTAATTCTTGAAATCTCTCCTAAAATTAGTATATTAATGAATCTTTCAAACAGCGAGGTATACTGAAAAGGTTCCCTTTCTTCTGTGATTCCCCGAACCTCCGAACACAGAAAATTCGATTTATGTTGATTTCTTGTTCCGCATTGCAGAATTTGAGTACAAAATACTTGATTTGCCATTTTCGCTGTGTGGGTTAATTTCGGCATTTTTGTCTAGGCTTCCTTTCTATCAAAAGACTTGCCCTTCACTTTTCTTTCCATAACCTAGTTTTGCAGTGGCCGCACAGCAAACAAAAGATGCACCATCATCGACAACAAGTCGCGGGGTCTTGAGCACCACCTGTCGCGGTTGCCGTTGCCGCCTGGCCACTGGAGAGGTAATCCAAGTGGCTCCGTCTCAGTTGGCTGCTTGGGCAACACTCGGCTGGATCTGGTTGCCACTTTCAGTTTCTCAACACCTAGGCCTTACCCGCCGAATCT